TTAATCCCATTGATTTGGAGTTAAACATAACTAGATGAGGTTAAAATGCAAAGATGATAAATCTAAACTACCAAGGTGCAAGAACAAAGATTAAAAGACAAGATTAAACCATAAAAATACAAATGTTATTAAATATTAAAATCCTTAAGGCAAATCGCCCTTTAAGGTTTGGAGAAGAGAGAGTCTTTGATAGAAAGCTAAACTTGGGTAAACATAATGTTTTGTGGCTTCCCTTTTATAGTAGGGAGCCAAAAGAAGCATAAAAAACCTAAAAAAATAGGATAAGGTTAACAAAAGTCAAGTGGCCAACACGGATAAGTTGCATCGAGGTCGTACGTACGATGTTCTGCTCGATGTGCGACCTCGATATGATCCGTGCAGTGCGCATTGGCTTCCTTCCTCGATGCAGACCAACGGCTTAGAATCCTCGTGCTGATCCTCTTCCTCTCGTCCTGGTGCTTGCATCGAGCATACACCACAGGTGTTCTGCTCGATATGCTTGCTCGATATGGACCAGACTTTGCAAGAGCTCCATTTCTGACATCTTCTTTGATCATGAGCTGCTTCCATCTCCTTCCCAACTCCAAGAAACTCCAAAAACACCTGAAAACCACCACAAACATGCACATGTATGCAAATGTATGCAATCCTAAGCTAAATGCATGCTATGTTGATTCTAAGTGCAAATGATACTAAAATGCTGAACTATAATGCAAAAACAGAAGAAAGATGCATGAAATGCAGCCTAAAATGATCTAAAATAGCAAGCTACCACTGTGATTCCCCCGGATGAGGACATTCTTTGAAATAACTATATTCATTTTCAGGAAATCAAAAAGTTATCTGTTATAATCCAAACTTTATAGAGTTAATAAAGATTTTACGCTTTAAGTCTCTGGATCTGTTGAGGAGTGTGGCGATGACAAATCTTCTTCTCTCTTTACTTGGCGTTTACCGAAGTATGTTGTTCGGTTCCTGAGCTTCCATCACCATCACAATCCATTTTGGTCTTCAAAAAAAAAAATATAGATTTGTTTTTGTAATAATGTTGTCTTCTTTTGATAATTCACAAGCTAATTAGCATTTAAATGGAAAAGGGTGGTTGTAAAAGACGTTCATAAAAAAAAATATGGATATTTACTATTAGAGTGGGTATCATAATCTGTTAAAAGGTAAGTTTTTATTTTATTTAATTCAAATATATATCAGAGTCAGAGATATAAAGTAGCATTTTTGTTATGTACAAATGTATTGAGGTTGAACCAAATATATATATATATATATATATGTAAATATAGAAAAACTTAATTTAATGGGAGGAAATTTGTTTTCTATTTTCTAGTTGGTCAAATTATGTTTGAGGATGAACTCAACCCAATTAAATAAACATCTTTTTATCTTAATTGATAATTAATTTAAAAAACTAAAATACTATAGATTTTAATGAATAAATTTCAACATCCACCTAATAACAAAAAAGTTATTTTCATATATAATAAATCTATAAATTTTATTATAATGTTTTAGTTTTAAAACCAATATTCGAAAGTATATAATATTATTATTGTATTTTATTTATTATATGAAAATTGTTTTAAAAATGACTGACATATTCAACTTTCTACTAAGTTTAGTATTTTATTATTTATAAAAGTTTGAGGTAATCATTAATATCAGTTTAAGTAAAATAGTATAACATAAAATATTTGTTAGTTTATTATATATATATATATATACAACTCATTCCATAAATATACATACCAAAATTTTCAATGTAAATAAAAATAAATTGGATAGACATGTAATTATTTAAAGATATGCTTCAAAAAGAAAAGAATGTATTACAACAATATCTAAAATAATTATCATCTTTTCATCTATCTAAAAACCTGATGTTGCAAATGGTCGGACTATAATAGTAGTATATGAGTTGATAAACCGTTTTTAGGCAAACCAGATTGTCAACAACTGGATCAACATTGACATAGTTTGAATAAAAAACAAGAATTTTATTTTTATTTTTAATTCAAAAACTATATTCTATTGAAAAACTAAACTAAACTGACTAGTTCATAATAGAATTCAGTGAACATAGGATCTTAATCTCGGCCATGACTATATTTACTGTTCATCAACTTCGATCAATATATCATTAAAATAATTATGATTATTAGATCTATTTTGATTTGGTCTGCTATTTTTAATTTAGGATACGATCCACAGTTTCACACAAACATTATGAATTATCTCATCATCAATGGTCTTATCTGACCGAATCAACATTTTAGATTAAAATATTGTCTTTCTTTTTCGAGTTTACATCCAATGGCTAATTCTATACATGGATTAGTCAAAATCAACCAGAAATCATCCGATCAACATCCAATCAAATCAACGATCAAATTTATTTCTCTTCACCAAGATTCAAGCTCAATGGCTCTTTCCATCTTTTATTCTAGATTGACCAATTCATAACCAAATCCATTCAACCCATACTTTCAAGCTTGATGATGAGGACACTTAAAAAGGTGTATTCGAGCAAAAATTTAGATTTAAAATAATTAATTATGCGTTATTCAAACATAATTTTTTTAAACTACTATACAAATATTGTATTACCGAGCTACTATTATATTTAGGTTTACACCCAATGACCAATGCTATGTTTGAATAATTGAGTTAGTTTAAATCATCCGATCAACCACTATTCAATCTAAACAACGATCAAACTTGTTTCTTTTGACCAAAATTCAAGTTCGGTACGTAAGTTTTCAATTAATATATTAATTTGCACAAACATTCATTCTAAACGGCAGTTAATATACACATACATATATTATTATTCCTATTTTTTTAACTGGATGGTGTCGTGTGATGTAAGCAAACTTATGTTTAAATAAATAAAATGAAATTATGTTTCTCTTTAGGAGTCAAGACAAATAAAAGACTTAAAACATATAAATCATGCCATATGAGAATTTATGCAATATATATAAACTTGTATCTCTTTTCTTGTTCTATTTTCTAAATAAATTTGAAATAAAAGGTGAATTATTAAATTTTATAAAAAAAATCATATATGAATAAGAGTAAAAATGGAAGTTATTATTTTTTTTTCTTTAGTCTTAGAGCATCTCTAACCAAAACCCTCATTTTGAGGGTGGTATAACCTCAAAATAAGGATTTAAGGATCCATTGCTTCAATGCTAAAACCTCAAATTCATTTTTATAAAAAATTTCAGTTTTGCATTATATTCCCAATATTTATAAGGTTCAAAGAAAGGGTGAGCTGTCTGTTTGAATCCAATATTATGCACTTTTGTTTTTCAAAAATAAGGTTGATTAATTATAAGAATAAAAATTGGTTAATTTTTTGACAATTTGATTTCATCAAATGAATAAATTCTTAATCTCTTGAAAGACAATACATCAAGTAGGGACAAGACTTATGAAATGACTCAAATATTGTTCACAAGTTTGAACTCTATCGATGATCATAATACACAAGAGTTTATTCGATCAAAACAAGCAAGAATCATCCAAAAAAGAACTCAAGAACAACAAGACCAATCTTCGACTACACCAAACTTTTATGGACAAGTTTTTCGTAATCTTGGAGGTTCAGGATCAAAATTTCTCGTATATGAATCTTAATTTGTGTTACATTTATGTGTTTATGTAATTTTTTATATAATATTTATTATTGAAGTGAGATTTTAAATTTCATTTAAGAAATGTAATATTATTGTTGTGGGAAATTGTTTTCTTCTGTAAAATATTTTTACATATTTGTGTTTATAAAAACTAGTGTATTTATTTGATTTAATATATGATAGTTAAATTTCTAAAAATATATTTAAAATATGTATGAGATGTATGTTAATAGGATAAATTAATTATATTATTTATAAAATATACAAAACTAGAAAGGCTAATATGAAAAACAAAAAGTGGTTTGAGGTTTTGAACAATGAAATTTCAAATTTGAGAATCTACTATTCACACCCTTAAAAATAATGATTTGAGGGTGGGTTGGAAACAAAAAAAAAAAATTTGAGGATTTGAAGGAGGGTTGAAAATGCTCTTAAGTAAGACATGTGGCAAACGTGAAAGTCAAAAGATTAAGAACCCTAATTTAGTATCACAGAGCACTCATCGTCTTTCGTTTCTTCTTCTAAAATCAAAGATCATAAGAGAAAAAACAATGATGGTGCTTGATGCTCCGCCGGATTTGGCAGACAAGATACATTCTAGGGTTCTGGCAAAAACATTGGATTGATGGCAATCTACTTGCCAATGTTGGACCAATTTATTCAAAGACTATGAATTCATCAAGAAACACTCTGATAGAGCACCAAAGCAGCCTTTGGTTCTCACATTTAATGAATATAATATCTCTTCCCTTGAGCTTCAACATCCATGGAACCAACGCCGCTACTCCATCTATAAAGCCGAGAGTTGAACTTTACCTTAAAGAATATCACTTTTTTTTCTGGAGGACAATAACTTGATATATTTACAGTGTCCATCCGGTTTCGTTGCACCTTGCATGTCCGTCCGGTTTCGTCTTCTCTTTCACTGTCAATATTTTCCGTCACTATGTAATTTTCTAAATTTTTGTTCATTATTTGAACACAAGTAAACCGACAAAGTCGCATTTTGATGTGTTTGTATTATATATATCTAACTTCAAATGTTGTTATATTACCATTTTATTTATTTATCAAATATTTAATCATTTTCTAAAGTTGCATCGTTATATATAATTATCAAACATATATTCTTAATATTACCCAAAAATGTATATCCTTCAAAATATGGAAAAATTATTATAACCAACCAAAAGGTCCAAAATTATAAAAAAAACTTTAAATTTCCCATAATAATCATGTACTTGAAAATCATGATAACCAATCCAAGTAATCCAAAACCAGACAAAAAAAAATATATCTTTAACAGAAACAACAAAGGAGAGAATCATCCAGAGAATATTCCCTTACTCAAGCATGATCAGGACAATTGAGCAAGAGCATGATCCTTCGAATAGTGGAGCTCACCAAAACACTCACTATGGCCACTAACTTCTCATTCACTTCTTTCGGCCTGTCGATTTCATCAGAGACAAGGATCTGCAAACCCAGCGAGAGTAAAGTCCCACCGTTTTCAGCCTTCATGGATCGCTGGCCGTCGCTTGAGATTGTGAAACCAGATGGAAGGATTGGAATTCTGGCAGGTCAACTTTGCCGGAGGCAGAGATATTCATTGCCGTCAAGTCGAGAGGAGCGTACGCTATCACGCCTCCTAGTGCATCCATGTAACAGTCTTGTAGCATCACCATGTCATCCTTAAGTGAGAATTGTGGCATAGATATGCCATTGTTCTCTGTTTTCCGAGGCTAAAATTATATATATACAATTTTATTTCAGTTATATAACCAAAGATTTAATTATTGGTAGGCCGTCAAGGAAATGTATGCATACCCGGAGAACGGTGGGGCGGTTGGTTTCACTAGAGCCGGTGAAAACGCAAGCGATCTCAGAGGCTCTGTTTCCATTGCAAAGAACGTCCCACTGTTACATGCAAATGTGGTTTGTTATTGCAAAGAAACCGAAGACAACAATCAGAGATCCAGAGAGGTAAAAAAAAAAAATGTAGTAGCTTTTTAAATATCCTTGCATGTTTCTTTATTAGAAAATAATCACATAGATGTTCATTTCAGACCTTTAAAAAAATATATATATATATATATATGTAAAATCATGAATCGAAATTGTATGCTAGTTACTTTTAACCCATTAACCTGTATGAACTAAGACTCCTAATTTTTCGTTTCGATTCGATAATGCAGGACAAAAAAAAAAAAAAAGAACCCGTATGACGAGTGTCGCTGCTTCGTAATGCGTTGAAGACTTGCAAAGGAGTGCGAGGGATTGAGAGACAAGTCGCAGCTCTGACAACTAAAACGTGTGGTTGACGGGCCTCATTGTTCACCCGGAGCGAGATTCTGACTCCACATTTCGAGTGTTGAGGAAAGTCAATTTTATCGGACATGGTCCACATTTTGTTGAAGTTCTTCAACATTCTTTCCCCTAATTTCATTACACTCCTTCTTCCTTCTTCTGTCTTTATAGCTGCTACAAACATTATAACTTTATCAAAAACATCATAATTTCATTAATGATTTAAGATAGTTGGACTAAAATTCGGAGACTATATGAACTGATCCAGTACTTATGTCTTATACGTAACATACATATATCTTTGATCAAATAACATTATATGTGGTACAGTCAAATTTAAATGATGAATGTATAGTACATTAGTTGTGTTAGTCAATGTCATATAGTTAGTCCAGTTGCATGTCCTAGGGTTAGAATGTAGAGAAAAAAGAAAAATCATCCCACCAGCTTAAAACTATTGTGATCATATATGTAATTACGTGCTAGTTGTTTAACAAATAACAAGTGAGAATAACAATAACAATGTTTATGAAATTTAAAATCAGAAAAATTCAATTATCGAAAATATATTAAAACAGAAATAGTTAATATAAAGTTTTTTCTTTTATTTTTTTATTTTTGACCATTATATTCATTTCTTTGAAAAAAAACTTTCATTTATCAATTATTCATTTTTAGATTCGCAATTGTTTTTCTCTGAAAAAATTAGTAGGAAATTAACAAAAACATTGACTAGCAATTTTGATTTCTATCTTTCATTTTTTGCCAAAAAAAAAAAATACGTGCTAGCAAACCAAATTGCAATTATCATCAAAATCATTCAAAATGCCATTCAGCTCATATGATAAAAATATAATACTTTTTCACTATCATACATTTGAATATGGATTAGTAAAGTTAGTGACAGATGATACGTACCTTCGCTCCAGTCAGTAGCGGGAATGCTTAAGATGGAGGAGAGAGCCATCCTCTCACACATCCTCTCTAGTGTGACGATCCAACGCTTAGCGTCATACCCTGATGAGCCGCCACATAAAAGCTCTCTATACATCGGATGTGTATCGGGTTTGTGGTTCACTTCCACATGCTCTATCCACATTACCTACAATATTTAATAAATTCAAAAATGTATAATGTATACATGTATACATTTATGAGAATAAATAGACATTTCTGAGATTGGTATAGGGGCAATGGAGACACCTCAGAGTGATCATTGGGCAAATTCCGGATGAGACAACCAGAAGGACGTTTGTAACAAGAAAAATTGTCTTTGTCCAAATTAAGAACGCTTTGTGACACATCAGCAACAATCCAGACCCCTTCATTGATCTGTTGGCAGCACCTGGCGACAATGCACTCTCTTGGTGGCACTAGCGGCGACAAATATGTAGTTGCTCCCATATCTATCAATTTAAGTCACATTCAAGAACATATCATGCATATATACTAAGATGGAATCAGGTTTTAAGTACTTCATTGGCGAAAACACTCTATTTAATGTGAGTCTAACTTCGAGAATACTCACAAAAGGATACTTAGACCTAAAAAGAACATAAGCTCGAATTAAAATATATATATTGAACTTAAGATTGTGCCGTCTCAAACCTAAACTCGAATTCAAAAATCTCTAAAATTGAATGACACGGTATGTTAAGTATTTAATTGATAACATTTTTACGTTCTGCAATGAAAATACTTCTTACCACTTGCAAGACATTGCAGTTTTCTTTTATGAGAAGCTCGGATCCAAGCATATGAATCGCCGTGGCCTTGTTCACGATAGATGGAAAGAGATTTTTCCATTTCTCCTGCAATAAACAAGCACATGGTCATATCTAAGTATAAATAAGTCCAACCCTTAATTTCAAAACAAAAAAAAGAAGAAAATTGTGTTTGATAAGTTACAATCAGCATGTCTAAAAAAAAAAAAAAATCCAGCATGTCTCAAAAAAGTTCAACCCTTAACAACTAGCATGTCTCAAAAGTTAGAAGCAATATGTAATAACTTCTTCCAAAACCTACTTAAGCTATTTGAATTAAAAATATATAAATCTATGTTTGAAATATAGTTTAAATGATAAACAGAAAAAAATATATTTGAAAATCAAATATCAAATGCAAATGCACCACTTAATTTCACTCCTAATTCGAATATATTTTATGATGCATGAGGCGCTGGCCATTCACCGTGAAGTGTTCACCATTGACATCCCAAAGCACTACCGCTCCATACGGTTTCACTTCCTTTATGCTAAAGGGTCCCGACCATCTAGATCAACAGCCCGCCCCCAACTAGTCGTATAGTGTGTTGAAGTTGGAGATACATCACTTGAATACATACCGAATCTACAAATATTTCGATCAAATTTGTTGCTTCTATAGAAACCACAATGACATGTTTGGAAGACTCGACGCGACCACTCAAGCTCGTGAAATGTTTGATCGCATGCGGGAACTTCTCATAGCTCTCTTGACCAAACACATAAGTTCCATCGATAGACGATTTAACCCAAAAAGCTTCCTCAGTAAAGAACAGGCGCTTGAGTTCTTCAACCGCACTTGCCGCTGTTTCAGTCAATTGCATTATGTCCATTTCGGATAGTGGTTATGTTTGGATGGTTTGAAAAGTTAGTGGTCCTAATGAGCTAGCTGCTGGCTCAAACAAGAGATTGCTTGGATTAGCTCCGTACGAGTTGTGAGTTTCAACGATTTGCTGTCTCTCAGCAGAAGCGGATGAGCCCACCATTGTTTCTTGGTGCTTGTTCTTGGATACAAAGTTGGCGAGTTCGTCACGCTAACAAAAACAAGAAACATTTAGTACCGATTACTTTTTTTTTTTTTGCATTTTCATGGTTAAAGTTGTTGCATGTTTTAAGTTTTTGCTTTGTGTTTTGAGCTTATGTAGACTTTGTTTGCCACCAAGACGGTGTCATTCAAGTTTGGAGGAGTGTGTGGTGTGTTTGACATGTTTGCTTTCTTCTTATTTTCTGTTATCATCCTTTGAGTCTTGCATACATCCTAAGGCATAGAAAAGAACAAAAAAATTGGTAAAATTTTTAAAAATTTTCAAAAAAAATTCATGTAGTTGCATTCACTTTGTTAAAAATTTTAGGATTGAGTCTAGAATTTTTAAGTAATTAGGTTGTTTACATTTGCGTAAGGGGTAAAAGTTTTTCTTGAAAAGTGTTTAAAGCTCATGAATTGTTTCAAGGCCCTAGTTAGTAGTTCTTTGAAGCATTGTACACTCTTTGAAAGTAAGCTCTAACCATACTTGGATCATGTGTTTTGATTTTCGTGGCTCAACTTGAACATTCATGAATTGAATCTTATCCTAATAAGTGAGAACCTAAATCTGATCTTTAATTGTTATACTTATGCATTTGAAAATGAACACATGGATCATATACATATCTAGGCTCTCTTCCTCTTTTCACCACTCTTTTGTGAGCCTAGGTAGAACTCCCACCATAACCCTTACCCTTCTTTCAAGCCAAAATCTCTTGTGTGATATCTTTGTGAGGCTTCTTCCCGGTTTGAACTTGGCATAACGTGTTACGTCTAGGCGACATGATTAGGCTCTCATTTGATTGCTAGCTTTGAATTTTGAAGCTAGTTTTAGGCTTAGGTTAGGTTTGGGGTTCATGGGGGTTTCTTATTTTACTTACTTATTTTCGGTTTCAAAAGAGTTTGGTGTTTAAAATGAATGAAAAGGTTTTAAGTGGAAGGCTTGTTTTAAAATGAAAGCTCTAAGTGTAACTAAGAAGATAGCTCTCAAAAAGAAAAGAAAAAGAAAAGAAAAGAGCCAAAGAGCCAAATGTTTAAAAAGAAAAAAGAAAAAAAAAGAAATAAGTAGAGAGCTATCAAAAAGAAAAGAAAAAGAGCTAAATGTGTTTTCAGCCTTTCCACTAGCCACAAGAGTTTTAAGATGATGCTTTTATTTGGGTTTTTGCTAAGCGAATTGCTTTGATGATGAAGATAGTTTCTAGGAGGGTGAGTGAGATGAACTGAAAAGAAATAAGAGGGGTTTTAGGATCATTGTTAGTGCATATGAGTGGATGAGAGTCTAGTCATGTATGTATCAATTGCCTTTACTTTTAGCATTATGCATAAGTTCATACCTTTTTGAGAGAAACCGTTGCATTATATAACCCATTTAAATGAGATCATTCTAGTCTCATAGCCTTCATCCTTAACCAAATGTGTTCGGTTTTAAAATTCATAAGTGTGATTCACGGTTTTGATCTTAATGAATATTAAAGGATATGATTCTTAGATTGTTTGGGATATGAGAGTCATGATTTGAAATTCATTATGTTATAAGTATGGCTAAGTTCTTTAGAGTATGAGTGTATGCATTGCATTTTATGACTAAGAACTAGGACCATTAAATTGATTTATTTGAAAAAACACTTTTGCAAGAAGCTTAAACCCCCGTTTTTAAAACCTATTTTCTTGAATTTTATTTGCTTGAGGACAAGCAAAAGGCAAGTTTGGGGGAGTTGATATTACTATATATTTTGCATATTTTTCATGCATTTAGGATAGTTTCTCATGCATTCATCTTGCATTTTAGGCTAGTTTGCACCATTTTAGGTCCTAGAGCACTTTTGCATCAGCATTCGCATGTTTCTTGCATTATGCATCATATTCAGGTTATTTTTGGACACTTTGGAGCTGTGGAGGATTCATGGACATGCTAAGGCTCGTGAGGAAGCTCGTGGACACTTGGAGAACTCAGCCTTGCATGCTAAGGACACGAGATCGAGTAGCGGATCGAGCAAGGCAGGTCGATCTAGATGAGATCGACCAGAAGATCGAATGACCCAAGTCGATGCATATGAAAGGATCGACACCAAGATCGAGAGAAGAGATCGATCTGGAGTACAGATGTGAATGACGCCATGCAGATCGAGAGCCAGATCGAGTTCCCAACCCGATCATCACAGGATCGACTCAAGGATCGACCAAAGCCATCCGATCCAAGACGAAGATCGAGCCAGAGATCGAGTGACCCGAGTCGATCCCAGATGAACCTTATCCATCCAGCTGTCTTTGGCGGCTAGCGAGGGGGGGACCAGCTAACGGTTTAGCCATTTTTGGCAAAAGCAGTCATAACCTTTATCCTATCTTCATTCTGTATTTTCCTTTTTCTCTCTAAGTTAGGCGATTCGCCATTGTAGAACAGCTTAAGCTTTTTTCGTTTTTGAACCTTTGAATCTTTTAATATCAAGCAAGTTTTCTTTTAATCAATCGTTAATCATGCTTAGCTTATTGTTTATTGCTTTTGATTCGATCTTAAACATGTGTAGTGAGTAGTCTTCTTGGGTTTTTGGTGTTGAGGCGATTCAAAAGGGTTGAAAGGGTTTAAAGCTTTGTGTTTTCTTTGTTCTTCATACCTTCTCTTCTAGGATCTTAGGATCTTAAAGCCTAGAGAGCCTTGGAAAAGGTCTCTATGAACCAAGGGCTGTCTTACCTTGACATGATTCAGATGTCCTAGAAAACCAGATCCTAGAGGCTAATCCTTCTTTTCCCATACGCCATGGTTGTTTAGGGGATTAGTTAGGTCATTGTTTGAAATCTGTCTTTCTTGCTCTTCGATCTCTTTTTCCACCAAACGCCATGGGTTTGGAGAAGAGATTGAGGAAGTGAACCATACCACACGCCATGGATGGATCTTGTTTTGTTTTCAAGGCTTAGAGAAACCTCTTAAAAGAGTAGATCTAAACGTTTTCAACCCAAAGCTTGAATCTTTGATACCCTTGAATATGACCCTCGACCCTAAACCCTCTCCTTTAGTATTTTAAACCTCTGTTCATCATTTGCTTGTCATAAAGTTGCATTCTTGATTATTAGAAGTCGTTCTGTATAAGTTGCTTATTAGATCGATCCATTCTGCTCGATCCAGTGCTCGATCCTGTGGTCGATTCACTGGTAGATTTTTAATTCCTAGTAGCTTTGCATTTTTCATCTTTTGATTGTTCCTCAAGGTAGTTAACCTTCTTCCAGGGATTTTAAAATTGTTTTGCATTGCATTAGTTCGTTGCACTTAGTTTTCCTAGATTTTATCAATCATTTATCATATTCGCTTAGATTCACTAGCTCCTTGCATTCTCATTGCTCTTCCTGCTCCCTAGGAATTGATTGATACCTCTTGCTATACTACAACTGTGTGTTGCTTGAGTTTTGATAACCTCCTGCTTGCATCTATAGTAAAACCCCTGTTATCACTGGACTTGAGAGTTTTGCTAAGATTGTGATGATTAGACTGAAATTTGATCTTGTGTTGACTCTGTGGTATGTGGGTTCGAAAGTTCTAACTAGTGTGGTGTTCCTGATGTCTGACTGACTGTTTCTTGTTTTCAAACCTCGACCCTGTTCTCTGTCTGATGTTTGCTTAAGGGCAAGCAAAAGCTAAGTCTGGGGGAGTTGATATATCATGGTTTTTATGGTTTTTAACCATGATATAAGTCATTTTTATTGAGTCTTTTTGGTCTTTTTAGAGTCTTAGAAGAGTCTTTGTAGGTTATAGCATGTCTGGAGCATAAATGGAGATATTGAAGCTTTTTGGAGCATTGCAAGTTGAACCCACAAAGTGTCTAGCTCGGGAAGAAAAGTATGCATATGGGTGACGCTCGTCACCCAGAAAGGAAGGGGCCGTGGCTGTTTTCTAAAAGATAGAGACCCCAGAAGTTCCAGTATTTGCAAAAAGACCTCAGATCGTGTTTTAGCTTGTATATTAGGTTTTTCAGCCATCCTTTTGGCATATGTCTTATATCTTATTATTCTAGAGAGCTTTAGAGAGAGATTTGTAGAAGAGCTTTTGGAAAGACAAATCAGACTCTTTCAGAGCAGATTTCGAACTCTTTCATCTTTACTTCTTATTTCTTTTATGCATTCTATTCTTTTCATGATGTTTTCTCAAATCACCATGTCTGAGTAGTTTGTTAGTTAAGTTAGGGCTTTTCAAAGGTTGAAGAAGAGTTTGTAGAATTGCTAAACTTATAGGAAAGACATTGGTTCTTCATCTGTGCTTGCATTCATATCGATTTCTTAGACACATCATCTGAATTTCGAAACCCTAGGTTGTTTGATTGATGTGAGAGCATTATTAATCACCTGAACTAGTATTAGATGAGCAAAACGCCCTAGTGCAAAGAGATTTGGCTTAGGAGTTTTGTGAACAATTGAACCTGATCAGTACTGCATGTTTAAATTGTTAGGGTTTGCAAAGAGATTTGAAACTTTGTGATTTAGACATAGATAACTTCTGCAAAGAGAATTGATTAGTTATATCTTTGCGATTCATGTTCAAGACGGTTTTAATTCATTCCTGATTGCATGCATTCTACACTCTCGGATTCAACCTGCGAACTGTCCTGACTTAGCGTCTTAAGCTTTCTGAACTTTAAGAACAATCTCAAAAACGCCCACTTTCTTTTATTACTTTAGTTAATTCGCATTACATTCATTACTTATCGCTTAACTTAATCTGAACCTGCAATCGATAGTGTAGTTTATATACTCCCTTGGGATTCGATAACCCCTTGTACTACAACTGCTTTTGCTGTGCACTTCCAGTAGTCTTATTTGGGTAAAACCTGAGCCCTATCACTTAGCTTGAAAGAAGGTTTAGTTAAGGGTGGGGAAATCTAAATGGATCTTTTAAAGAGTGGCAAAAGAGAATAAGAAGATCCAAATATTTTAAACTATCCATGACATCAATCACAAAATCATAAGGCATGATAATTGCGAATTCAAATTAGGTTCAACTTAAACAGAGATTGAAATCATTTCAA